TTCAATCCTTGATCAAAGCTAGTCCATTATTCAACTCTTCTTGTTCATGTAAAGTAAGCCATTATAGAGACCAATCTAAAATCATCAACTCATGTCTCATTTGCCATTTGCCAAATATGTTTGCTTTCACATAATGCTATGGTATCCCATAACATAAAAGCCATTTCATTGATTACATTTGCATTGTTGTCTTTTACTTAAACTAGATTATTTCCGTAATATTTCAATACAACAATATACAATTTGGCCTTCACTAGAATACTATGTGGCATATCATCAAGTTTGCCTTCTTGTTGAACCTATATACACTTCTCATTCCACAATCCACAAGTGTATGCAATAAACTCAATTTTCTATTCAACACTTAGCAAACTTGTTAAACCTTTAATGGTGTTGTCATTCAGTTCACCAAAACCTACTAAAAGGCTAGATGCACTTACAGATGCTGACGCCGTAATTGTCGCCTCCATCTTCAACAGAGCCATCACGGAGAAAACGATTCCACCCTGCCATCTCGCAGTCACCGAAGTGGAGGAGGAGGAGATAAATTTACAAAATCAAGAAACTTGGCATAGAGAAACCCTAATCCTAAAGACTTGATCTACTGAAATTTTTTTATTAAAAATGATGGATCCCCACTCCCTTCGGCCTCCGGTGATATGCTGGAGGGGGAGGGAGGGGGACCAACGGTGGTAGAGGCATGGGGGGCGGCGGCGCGCTTCTGAGTTGAGTCGCGAGGGTGCTTGGGGCGAGTCGCGAGTCTTCGGTCATGTTGAAAATAAGATACACAGGCAATATCTATGTGCCTTTGCGCTTGATACTTTGAATTTATCCAGTGTTGTCTACATGGCGCGAGCTAATACCTCTAGTCGTAATTGTATTTGTCGGATTAGATAACGACAAATTCGAAGACAACGGTCAACACTAGACTACATGGTTTAATTAATATTTTATTTTTAAAAACTATGTACCTCGGATTGTGATCGGACGGCTATAAGGCGGCGAGTTGAAGTGACGCTCTATAAACCTATATCTTGCACACAACCTAGATAAAAAATATAAGAGACCATAAAAGCCTTAATAATAAGCTCTATATGTGCTAAATGAAGATAAATGGATCCCAACAGAGGAAAGCGTGTGCATAAGCAGCCATAGGCCAGCTATTTTCCTCAAATTAAGACTACTCTCCACGCTTAAAATAGCAGCACAAGAATGACGAATGCTGTCATCTCTCTCTCATCACGATGTGTCGTCAAACTAACCGTATCATCATTTTCTTGGGGCGAAAAAGTAAAAAGAAAAGCGCAAAAGGCCATGAGCTTCTAGAAGAGCCTTTTCTCTGTGTACCATTAAAAAAGATGGCCTTTTTCTACAGGCCACTAAAAAGTTCGGACTTACCTAGGTGCCATGACACTTTATTTCTTTGCCCCCCAAGCCATTCCGTCCATTTTTGCTAGTAACGGTGTGTAACGGCGAGGAGAAAAGACCGAAGTGCCCCCAGTTTAGGGAGGATGAGTGAAATTGCCGTTTGCCCTGTGTGCCACTCCCTGACCAAGCGTTTGAGCGCCAAGACGGCTGACGTGGGCAAGTTTTTTGGCGTCAAAGGCACTGGGCTTGGCGCCAAAGAGACCCCGCTTGGTGCTATAAATAGGCCCTCAGCCCTCCCTTCCCACTCATTCTTCTCCTTTTTGTCTCTCCTGCTACCTTGCTGCCAGTGCCATGTCTCAAGCGTCAAGCAGCTATGGGAGGAGGCCCAGGCGGGTCATGTGGCCCAACTGTAGTGTGCTAGCTAATCGATTCATATCGATGACTACGAACAACCACAATCGTGCTTTCCACAAGTGCCCGTACTTTGCAGTTCGTTTTTCTTCCTTGCTCATTCATTCATAGGTTGTTCTTTATTCCATGTTTGGTGCTAATCTGTTGATGCTGTTGTTTATAGGCCGGATGGTGCTAGTTTTATCAATGGGAGGACGAAATGGAGGACACTGTTGTGCACCCACCTAAAGCACCTGCTCCATTACAGGCCATTCCTCTGCAGGCAGTGGCAGCACCAGCTTCTATCTCTACAGCAGCTCCTCTGGCCATCGTCCAGGAAGATTCCCAGTCGGCTAGAATTGTCGGCAATGCAGTAGTGGAAGATAGGGTTCTTCAACAGCTTAGGTGGACTGAAAAGCTGGTGTTTGTATGCATCTTTCTTCCTTTGTATGCTATCATAAAAAAGTAAGGCCCTATGTATGCAGACTGTGTATGTGTGTGTTTGAATGAAGACTAGTGATGCATGAATGAATGGTTTTCATCAGAGTTATGATCTATTTTATGATAACATAGTAATTCTGACATCTCAAAAAAATAACATCTCACAAAGTTTCATCTAACCAATAGAGTTCCATCTCATAGGCATTCATCTCACATCACAGTTTCATCTTACATCACAGTCATGCCAAAAGAAAGTGATAGCAAAGCAGCAGTAGTTTTTGTAGCCAAATCACCAAAATAACAACTAAACACAGGTGGTTTTCATTTAAACCCTACATTCTTCTTGCTCCTGGTATTAGAAGCTGGGCTGGTTGGTGGCACAATTGAAAGCTTTTTTTGTGTAAGCTTCTTCTTCAACCCTATCTTATTCCTTGGTGAAGGCTGGGGCAAAACAACCTCCATTGGTTCTGATTGCAGAAATAAAATAGTCGAGCTACCTCACCGAAATCGGGTGGATACTTGTCAACAACATCACGAACCAGATCTTCGAAGTTAGTAAGCTCAGCATCCACAACTTTGTTCAAAGAAAACCACCGAGCACGCGAATTGGGAGTAACAATCCGTATTTCTAGGTTGAAGCTATTGTCTGAGTCCATCCTACAGATGAACAACAAGGAGCACGCAATCAAGGAGAACGCAAACAACGGGGAACAACACCACAATCAACAAGACGGACCCTAAGCATCCACATTCACAACTACCCGACCTAATGGATCCATACCAAGGAGCATGCAATCTAGGAGGAATAACACTCATCCGGCAGCTCGCAAGTTCGGTTGCTCGCCCGCACCCTTCTTCACCGCCATACGTGGCCAATCCTCTGGATCCACGGTGAACTCCAAGCAGGACTACCCCATTCGACTCCAGAAGCACGGGGGATTGATCTTCTTCTCAACCCGCCGCCACCTGCCCGCCTCAGCTAGGGTTTGGGGAAGAGAACGAGAGAGAAGCGAGAGTGAGAATACGATGGCGGTCAAGGTCGGTCAACATGGCCTCTCCCTCATATGCCCCTCTATCTCAAAGGGTAAGATGGACAAATTTCCTGTCCGGTTCCACCTGTCAGGGCTTTAAAACTGTCAAAACCAAACAGAACGTGGACGGAATGGCTTGAGGAGCAAAGAAATAAAGTATCATGGCACCTAGGTAAATCCGAACTTTTTAGTGGCCTATAGAAAAAAGTTATCGGAAAATGGTCTTGACTTTGAGTAGCAGTCCACGCACTGCAATTTGTATACTATACCACTAGTCTTAGGCGCCTCTGCTAGCGTGCCCACATTTTTTGGGAAAAAAGATATAATCTGTATGTTGATTTGAGAAAAATTCGAGGAGGTTTTCACAAAAATGATGAGAGGGTTTGTGATGGATGATTTTCGACAAAGATAAGGGTTTTTTTGGAAAAAAAACCCGGCGATATCCGTTCTCTAGACCGCGGGTTGATTTCAAAATAATTGAGGTGTTTTTTTGCAAAATATCATGAGAGGGACTGGAGAGCGGGTTGATTTCAAAAAAAGAAGGGTTTTTTGAAAATGACCGCTGATTTCGCTTCTGATCTGGGGCGATCCGTATGGTCGAAAAAAAACGCATGGCAGAACTGACGTGGCACTGTTGGGTGGCCGGCTACTCTTTACGCTTTCTTGTCTTTAGACTAGTCCTTTGGGAACATTTTAGGCCACACATTTTTTTGGAAAAAGATATAATCATCTGTATGTTGATTTGAGAAAAATCCATGAGGTTTTCATAAAAAATGATGAGAGAGTACGTGGGAGCGCTGGTTGATTTTCGACAAAGATAATGTTTTTTTTGCAAAAAACCCCGGAGGCCATCCTTACGGACCGCGGGTTGATTTCAAAATAATCTAAGGTGTTTTTGCAAAATATCACGAGAGGACTCTGGAGCTCGGGTTGATTTCAGGAAAAAGAAGGGCACCAGAATGCCTCATATACCGTCTATACCGATCAACTTCCAGCCACGTTGGGTGGCCGGCTACTCTTTACGCTTTCTTGTCTTTAGATCCCAACTTCCCATGGCCTGCGTATGCGTAGTCTCCAAAAATCTCACGACGACGACGACGTCACACGAGCCCTGACGCAGCAGGAGACGCCGCCGGCCGTCTCGAGCCTGTCGGTGGTGCGGCTCGTGCTGCGCCGTATCCAAACCACTGTTCGGCCGCGGGCCCGGACTCCGGACCCAAGCTCCGTCTCCGTGTCCGTGGTCGCTACGATCCGGACGCACAGTAGGAGTAGCCGCGTCTTGTGATGCGGAATTCGACGGCAAGCTTATCGTAGTCCGTATAAATCCAGATCCCAACTCTGTGTTAATCCTAAATCGCGTCCTCAAAAACCTCTCGTCCCGAAAGCGCACACAACAACAACAACTCAGAAGACACGCGCGACGCGACGGGCAGGTAGAGACAGATCCATCTCTCGCCTCGCCCCACCTCCCTCGCCGATCGGGGTCCGCCGCCGCGCCCAGATCGCTTCTTCGCCTCGGCGCGGAGGTGGCCGAGGGGAGGAGGAGCCTCCCGGATCCGCCTCGCCGTCGCCGTCGCCGTCGGCTGTAAGTGCTTCTCGCACCTCTCGATCTCTCTCTGCGAGCTTTGGGTTTTGTGTCGTGGGAGCCTTGGAAGTGGTTAATCCACGGTGATCTCTGATCTGCGATCTGTGTTGTGGAGGTGTATGGCTCTGGCGTCTAACGGCGAAAGACGTGTTTTTTGCTGCTGTGGTGTGCAGGGGGGAGCAGCAATGACGGCGGAGGGGACGGCGTGCAACGGCGCCGGCGAGGCGCCGAAGGCGGAATTCGCGCCGGAGAAGGTGGTGGTGGCCGCGTCGCCGGAGGAGAAGGCGGCGGTCGGGGAGCGCGAGGGCGAGGAGGACGTCGGCGGGCCGTTCGTGATCGTCAACGGCGGCGACTCCGACGGGCACTCCGACCGTGGCTCAGATCTGGGCAAGGCGCCCGACGAGGACTCGCCGTCCGAGGAGGACGACGCGCCCGGCTCCAATGCAGCTCCGGACGCGGCCGTGGGCGGAGATCACGGGGCCGCCGAAGGGGAAGTGGGTGCGGCGCTCGGAGCTTCGTCGGCGGACGGGGGTGATCGTGCTTCCGACGGGTCTGAGGGTGGCGCGGGTGAGGGCAAAGGTGAGCCAAGTTCCGATTGTGTCGCTGAAGTGGCGCAGCAGGAGGCTGTTGGTGAAGAGGACGGTGGGGCAGCTGCTCTGGCGTCCGGTGGATGCGAACCTGCCATCGCCAGTGCTGATTCTGAGGCACCCGCTGTGGATTCTGAGGTTGAAGGCAAGGAGGGCACAGTGGATGGAAGTGCTGTTGCTGATGTCCCTGAAGCGGTGGTGCATCAGGAAGCTAGCACAGAGCAGGATGGAGATGCTGCTGTGATGTCCTGTGGCCATGATGGTGCCCTAACGCCTCCTAAGTCTTCTTCTGCTGCCATGGAGTCCGAGGTTATTAGAGAGGATAGCAAAGAAGAGAGTACCGCTGATGTTGTGGAGCCGCAGGAGCAGGGTACAGTTGGGGCAAGTGCTTTGGTAGAGAATGAACATCTTTGTGCCGACATGAGGGCTGATTCATTTGTAGCTGCTACTGAGGCTGACAGTCAAGAGGATATTTCTGTGGAGTCCTGCAGGCACGATGATGCCCTAATTTGTACTGAGTCTGGTTCTGCTGACATTGAGTCTGAGGTTTATGCAGAGGATGGCAAACAAGAACAGAGCAACGCTGATGTCGTGGAGGTCGTGGGGCAGGGTGTTGATAGGGCAGATGCGCCGATGGCAAATGGGCATCTTTGTGCCGACATCCGAGCTGATTCTTCTGAAGCTACTACTGAGCCTGAGAACCATGCTAATGAGAGCAAACTGACTGAAGTTGCAGAATCAGTGGAGGGCGATGCTGCCAGTGGAGAACAGTATGCCACGGATGCAACACAAACAAATGGGCATATTTATGTTGCCTTGAGTGCTGATTCTTGTATAGTTGCTTCTGAGTCCAAGGCTCATTCGTTTCAGACGGATGGGAAAGAAACTGATCAGCAAGAAGAGGAAGCTCCAAAAACTGAAGCTGAAGTATTGGAGGGAGTGCTAAAACCAACTGAAAGGAACTATGCAGGCAGTGTTGAGGGACTCATAGAAGAGGAAGTTGACGCAGATGGGCATGCCAGTGTAGAAGGTACAGCTGATGCTTCTGGGGAGCAAGAAGCCAAGCCCATGCAGGGAGAAGGTGAAGCCACATGTGGTATTCTCGAATTTGAAGAAGTGGATAAGGACGGTGAGGAGGGTTTGTGTGATGATCGCACGGTTGGTGTTGTTTCCTCTAATGAGGAAACAGAGCTTCCTATTAAGGAAAGAATAGATGAAGCTGTCCCCAATGTTAATGTTGGTGAGTCAGAGGAAGTAACTGAGAATACAAGCCAAGATACCATGCATGGTGGATTGGCCAAAGATGGAGCTTCTATAGGCACAATTCATGTTAAGCTAGGATCAGATCCTTATGTTGAATCAGGCCTTGAACATAAAGTCAAGGCAGAAGTTGATTTAGTTGATGAAATCACAGCAGAGTCAGATTTGAAAGCTGAAAATATGGTTGAAGTGAAAAGAACAGCTCATGAAGTTGATGAAATAGAGGTAAAGGAACTTGCTTTTGCTGAGGCTATTGTAGCTCCTTTACACCGTCAGCAGGACTGTGAATCTGTTATGGAAACTATAGAGCATGAGAAGGTAGAAGCACCAGGTGTCTGTCAAGCTCATGAAATTGAGAATTCTTCAGAAGTAGAATCAAAGAAAGAGTTTGAGATGGAGGTTGATGATGCCGTTCCATTTCAAGAAGCTGCAGCTTCTGCGGCCTCTGTTTTCCACCATGAGCCAAGGTCCATTGATTTAGTTGAGAATGATAGCGGTAACCATTCCAGCCCAATTACTGTGTTGGAATCCTGTGACCATGTGCAAACCGAAGAGAGCAGATCCCAAGAAATTTCTATGACCACTGTTGAGCAACCTATATGCAGTGCTGCTTTGGAACATGGAACAATGGTGGTTGATGAAGTTGAAATAAACTCTGCAACAGGAAATGTATCTAAAGAAAAATCTAGCGACGTTGCTGTTGATCAAGTTGAACCTGTCAAACTGAATGTAGATGAACTTGTTGTGGTTGATGGTGATCAACCCAGTTTTGATCCAAGCTGTGAATCTGTTAGTGAGATTGTTGAAGATAGCAAATCACTGGAAAATCAGTCAGAAATTTGCAATGCATCTGGTATGTCTGATGAGTGTTCCTCCAGAATTGCAAATGAAGGTCCCTCTCCAATTAATATGTCTGATGAGTGTTCCTCCAGAATTGCAAATGATGGTTCCCCTAATGAGGCTCCTAATCTAACTGAGGAGCCTTGCCTCTCAGACAAATCATGCAACACTATCGATTATGAAAATGGAAATGAGCCTGCTAAATCTTCTGATGTGGTTGAAACCAAATGTGTGGAAGGTATGTCCATTATTTTCTCCTTAAATGCTAATTATAACCCACATGGGAGTTAAATGGTCACTTTCATAATCCTTGAGCAGCACTAGTGACAGAACAGAAGGACAATGGACACCATGCTTCTGGTGAGTGGCATGGAGATCATGCGCAAGTCATAGGCCCACAGAAGATCTACATAATTAAAGTTCCAAAGTTTGCCGGTGATGATCTCTGGAATAAGATCCAGGCTGCGCAGGCTCACTTAGACCAACTGTCCCAGGAAAGAGACGCGATTAACCGTCGTAGGCAAAAGCAAAAGGTAATAATAACCTTCCAAATGTATTTTTTTTTCAAACAAACCTCCAAATTTCCATCTTTTTTTTTTCTTCATGTCATGCTTCTTATTTTTTGGAAAACAAATATTGCAGGCTGTATGTGATCAATACAGGGAGAAGCTTGAGGCAGCACGTCGAGAAGAGCGGGAAGCTAGGACTGCCCATGGAGATAAGAAGAATGATTTAAATAGTGTACGTTCGGTATTAGGGAAATTGCACCAAGCAAATTCAGTTGAAGAACTTGATGAGCTGGTATGAATTCTGCAATGTTGTACCTACTTTGCTCCCTTCACTTTAAATTGCACTGTTCTTTAAATCTTAGCTCATTTTCTTCTTTTACTTGATGTCTTAGATTGCGAAGAAAGAGAGGACTATGCAACATGAGACCATTTCTTTGAAAGAAGAAAAGCTTTTAATTAAAGAGATTAATGAATTAAAAGCCCAACGGAAGCAGCTTTCTGCCACTATGGGCTCAAAGGCTGAAATCAATGAGGCATTTGACCAAAAAGATCACATTCAAGAGCGGCATAAGGTATTGAAAGCAGAAAATTCTAACTGTGCTCTTAATACCATTCCATCCTTTATATATTGACTGGTTTTCTTTATCATGTCTAGGTGTTAAAGAAGGATTCTGATGCTTTATTCACCAACCTGAAAGCCCTAGAGGAAATCACAAGAAAGATTCAAAAATCTTTCGAAGATGAAAGAACAGCTCTCAGAAAATTAACAGAGGAACACCGAGCAGCTAATGAAATACGTCAAAAGGCCTACAGTGAGTGGACTGTGCTTAGAAATGAGCCCAGCAAGAAGGTACAGATCTTTACTTGTTGCAGTTCTTGTCCATTTGGTTCAGGGAGTGATTTATTGAATATTCAGTATGTTTCATTTTACACCATTCACAAATTTGAACAGTATCACGTGGTTAAATATTCAGAAATACAAAGTACTGGATATAATGGTGTATTGGATACATGATTAGTTCGAGAAGATTCCTGGTTACATGGAATGAAAGGCTAACTGATGGGTTAGGAATAACATTACACTTCAAGTTTCATTAAGTCATCACTATCAGTGATGTGGTCCTCATCAATGCCACCTGTTGTGTGCCTGTGCTCATGTTATCAGAATTTAATTACTGATTACCAATGACGGGCATTTTCTATGTGATGTGCTGCTCCTGTTTCCTGGAGGCAGGGGTGTTTTCACTTGTGCCAGCAAAAAAGTAGTGTCATCACCTACACACAGTCAAATTTCTTGTAGGGAAGCATGTGATCTGTAGTGTTTAAAGTTTGCTTATTAGTTTTCTAAAAGCTGAACATCTTCCTTTGCATTTGTTTTGGATTGCAGAATGAATACTTTTTCAAGTACAGGGACGCCCGGAATGCAGCAGAAACTTTCAGAGCTAATGGAGATATAAATGGACTTAAATCACACTGTAATAGTCAGGTAAATCGCACAGCCTGTCTTCAATATGGCTGCAATTACTATATCAGTGTTTAATCTGGTTTGGTTTCTGTTGATGAAGCTGGTTTGATATTCCATATGCTGTTTGCAAGTGATTCTGCGCATTATATGTATTCCAGTACTACAGCTAAGCATTGTATTTGTAGTCCTACCCTTCTAATAACTGCCAGCATTGTGGAGACTCCTATTTTTTTCATTCGATTTGATTGTTATTAAAGCTCAACCCTCCTGTGCACTGGTTCTAAAATACAATGCTGTCTTGTCTCAACATTTTGTGATGTGCCAAATTTTTTTTTCGTCTTTTAGATTGAGAGAGTTATGGAAATGTGGAACAATAACGAGGACTTCCGCAAGCAGTATGTTGAATCAAACAAGGTTAGCACACTAAAGAGATTAGGGACCCATGATGGACGAAGACTTGGCCCTGATGAGGATCCTCCAGTCATTCCAAGCAGAAGACCAAGCAGCATTTATCCATTGTCTGCCTCAAGCCCGGAAGTGCCCACTTTAGCTTCTACACCAGCACCTGTATTGGCTGCTCCAGCTGCAGTCCCTGCCAAAGAGGACTCCTTTCCTGTTTTGGCAGCCCCACAGACCAGTAAGCGCGCCAAATCAAAAGCGTCTGGTAGCTCTGCCCAGATTGAGAACAATTCTGTTATAGTATCAGAGGCAGAAGATTTGAAACAAACTTTAAAAGAAAAGGCTCGTCTATTGGAGGAACAATTGGAGTTAGCTAGGAAGGCAGAGGAGTTAGCACGGAAGGAGGAGGAATTAAGAAAAGAGAGGGATGCAGCTGAAAAGGAGCGGCTTAGGCTGGAGCAGAAGGCTAAGGCTAAGGAGGCTGAGGAGAGGAAGAGGCGGAAAGCAGAGAAGGACAAGGAAAGAGCCGAGTTCAAAGCACGCAAGGAAGCTGAGGAGAGGGAGAAGGTATGATATGTTCTACATGTCCTCTGCTTTGATATTTGAGTTACATTACTTAACCATACGATAGACCATCCATGCAACAAGTTTCCAATTCTAACTCGATCTTGTTCAAACATCTGCAGAAGAAAGCAAAGAAAGACAAAAAGAAAGGCACAGCACTAGCAGATACGAGCACCATTGGCGACAGCCAGGCTGCGGCTTTGGCTACAGCGGATACTGACAGCAATGCATCAGACAACCCCAGGGAAGTTGAGGTTTCTCAACCAGCGGCTCCCAAGAGGCTGTCTAGGCCAGCAGCAGCAATCAAGCAACTGAACAGGTTGCAGCCCATGCCAGCGCCCCTACGCAACAGGGGCAGGAGGAAGCTGCGGCAGTACATCCTGATTGCGGCGGCCGTGCTATCGGTGCTGGCGTTGTTCGTGGCAGGCAACTACATTCCCAGGCTGAAGTCGGTTCACTCCTAAGCTTATATCCACTACATTCCCAGGCTGAAGTCGGTTCACTCCTAAGCTTATCTGTAGGAAAGAAGGGTGCCAATTCTGTCAGCGGTGAACCTGGTTTTTCTACCTGGAGGATTCGTCGTCTTATTTCAACTGTTCCGGTTGATTTGTATTTATTTTCCCTTATATAGGTTGTGAGATGAAAGTTGGGGGTGCATTGTGTTAAAGTTATTACCGGATGTTGGTGAAATATTCGTTAGAACATGATAATAATGGCTATAGATTCTTTTTTGTACATAGGCCTCTGGTGGTCGCCTTAGCGTATATGATGTTTAATCCTATGGCGTTGGCTGTCTCTGGTGCGGAATTCTTTCGGTCCGAACGCTCGGACGGACGGGAACCATCGGCCGATGATTTTCCCGCACGGCGTTTTTTCCGCGAAGATTTTCCCGCGCGGCGGGCTGTGCGGACGGAGCCGCCGCGGCCCACATGAACGCCCGATTGTTTTGATTTCCCAGCGTAGGTCGGTAAGTACGTTTTATTTTCTTTTCTTTTCTTTTTTTTATTTTATTTTTATTTTTGTCTTTTTCATTTTCCTTTCATATGATTTCTTTCTCTTTTTAGTTATCTTCTTTTTTATTTCTTGTTTATTTTATAATCATGTTTTTATTTTCTTATCTTTTTTTCATTTTTCCTTTCATTTTTCTTTTTCTTTCTTTTTTCTTGTTCTTTCTTTTTTTATTCTTTTTATTTTAATGCATAATTTATTTTTCTTTTTGTTTTATGTGAATTATTATTATTCTTTTCATTTTTTTATTTTTATCTTTCTTTTATTTGTTTTTTGCTTTCACTATAATTAATTACTTTGTTTATTTTACTTTTTTCTTATGTTTTATTATTTTTGTTTTTATTTCTTTTTCCTTTTTCCTTTTTCCCTTTTGTCTTTATGTATTCTATAGCCTTTTTATTTTTCCTTTTTATATTTTATCCTTATTAATTATTTTTTTCATGTTTATTTTTTAATTTTTTATTTCATTAGATGTTCTTTCACGTAGTATATAATGATCCTCTATAATATATTTTGTGATGTTCACATATTATACATGTGTTGTTTTATGGTGTATTTTCTAATGTTCATGTAGTATAAATGTGATGTTCTATTATATTTTCGTGATGTATTTTTATGATGTTCACGTAATATATATGTGATGTTCATATGGTATACACACGATGTTCTATCATATATTTTGTGATGTTCACGTAGTATACATGTGATGTTTTGTGATGTATTTTATGATGTTCACGTAGTATACATGTAATGTTCTATGATATATTGTATGATGTTCACGTAATATACCTGCTATGTTCGCGTAATATATATGTGATGTTTTATGATATATTTAGTGATGTTTATGTAATATATATGTGATATTTTATAATGTATTTAGTGATGTTCATCTAGCATATATGTGATGTTCTATAGTATATTTTAGAATATTTGAAAAGTATCTATGTGATGTTCTTTTAAATTTTCTCTATTACGTGTTTTTTTTTTTTTTTCTTATACTTTGCTCTATATTTTATTATTTTTTATTTATGTATTGTACATATTTATTTATTTTATGTATAATATAATATCAATTTTATGAACCTTAAACTAGAATATTGTTCTTCTAAACTGAGAATATTTTTCTTAAGAAGATGGAACATTGGTCCCGTTCGTCTTACCTTAAAACCGGTTTGTTCGGCTTCTTTTTTTAGTCGGAACAATGTTTTTCTCTCACAACAATTCAGTAAAAACAGTATTTTTCAGCCAGTTTCAATCAAGTTTCAGCAAGCCGAACGGGACCATTGTTCCGTGAATCTAGAATATCGTCTTTGCTCAATAAATAAAAATTATTCTATTTTTATAAGAAATGTTTATTAATAAAATTTTATCTAAATATATTCATATGAGATCTTGTTTCGAAGGATTTATTATAAGAAACTTAATGGTACGGTCAAAATTTAATTTGGATGTTTGGTTTAGAAGTTACGATTGCATACATACGCAAGCTGAGAGGAGTGAGGTGGGCCTGCGCGATGGCCCGAGCGCGCGCTACAGTCCTCCGAAATTTAGCAGCCTCCTCTGGTGTGGACCGTGAATGCTGTCGTTCGCTCTGTTTGACAGAGGCAAGTTGCATGTATATCTTCTGTGCGATGTGGACATCCATACTCCGTAGTTGTTGGAGAACCAGCGTAGAGACGAGAGGTAGAGCATATTGGACCATGGTCAGCTTATTGGCGTGTTGGAGCATGGTCGGCTTGGAAGATTCCGTGCACATGTGCCGGTTATTCTAGCTACATTTGGATCGATATGGTCTTCGGAGGTTAAATAGTCTCAACCTTTGTCCCAACGGTTGAGGGTAGGCACAAGTCACAGCCGCTACAAATCATCACTCGCAAGTTCAGTGCATCCTAGCCTTCCTGCTACAACGTTACTTGCAGGGCTACGAGCTCTTAGCAACAACATACACACAAAAGTTTCAATACATATTTGGCATCTTCTCTAATAATAAGACTCAAAAGAATTTTTTTTTTGCAAATAGTTTTTAGAGAGAGAGGATACTCATATTTGGGTTGTGCCTCCAAGGCAACCAAAAATAGGTCTCCCATATAGGTACTCTGTTGGAGACTGATTTTAAGTCTTTTGCTATCCATTTTGGATTTAGATGTCTATATAGGTTCCTTGTTGAGATAGTCTTAGACAACTTGCCGAGGTTTGCCAGCTGACTGCCTGAAGGAACAACAGTTGAAATTGAAGTCTGAATCGTATGGTGATTGTATATGAACAACCTTAATCTTGCGTGGTGGCATAAGAATGAAAGTTATCTTGCGAGTTGCGTGGACTAGGCAAACGTCTTTTTTTTTCTCCCAGTTAGGTTCACGTACAACTGCATCCTACAACACGACCCGGTTGCCGACTGCCGTGATGATCTACGGCATGTGAACTGGAGAATTTTTCTTCTCCTAAAAAAAACTAGAGAATATTTCTCGCTGCTGATCCGTGTGACTGATGGGCAGTCGCACGTCGAACACTGCCCCTTGCTGGTTTCTACAGAACCAGCGACTGCCCGTTCTGCCCGCGTATGCGTAGGATGGCCTCTTACCCCAAGGCCCAAGCAATAGTATTTTTCCCCGCGACCGTGCGACACAGAAGACCTATGAGAAGTCGACGAATATCTAAACTGGCTTGGCCAGCCTGTGCAGGTGTAGTGTAGCACAGGCTCAATGCCGGTCCTGACATTTCAAAGGCCTAGAGCCCTAGAGCGAACTTAAAATCAGGGGCCCTTAATAGAAACACGAAATATTATAAGCAATACTTTATGTGATGAAAAATAATACTCCCCGTCCTAAATTATAAGTCGTTCCAATTTTTTTGGAGAGTCAAATCATCTCAAGTTTGGTCAAATTTATGTAATAAAATAATAACATTTATGATACCAAATAAGTATCGTTAGATTCTTCATTAATTATATTTTCGTAGTATACCATTTGATGTCTTAAATTTTTATAATTCTCACTATAATTTTTTGTCAAAATAGAGATGTTTTAACTCTCCAAGAAAGTTGAAACACGTACGTAGTTCTAGGGATGCATAGTCCAATATGCAATTTATGATTGTAACAAAGGATACCCATAATTTGTTCAAATAGGGCAGATAACTTGTTTAATCACTTAGGCCTAGTTGTTAGTAGAGACTAAAATTAGTCCAAATTAGTTATGATTGCTCAGCTAGTTAAGTAACGGTTGAAGTCTCGGGAAAAAAATTAGCCCACCTGTTAGTCTCCTAGATGGCCTAGAACTGAAAATTAACCGGCTAAAAATTAACCCTATGCATCTAAATAGGACACGGTGTCGTTGGGACTTTGAACTAAAAGCAAGTCTGTCTGTTTTAGTTAAAGTGTACTAGTTTTTATCTATATAAAATACTTGATTCGTCCTGATTTTCAGTCATAGCTGTACTGGAATATATAATCACCTCCCCAAACAGGGCCTGGAACACCAACGACGCATTGGTCATCAATGTGGCCGCAGGGCGAACGCAAAATCGTGAACTCACGATGGGAATTGGACGATGTGCATCTCGCAGCCTTGGTCTAGGCCTGTGGAAGGCTGCGGCTGCGGTCGGGCGGTCGTGGCGCACACGCGCACACACACAGGTGGGAAAAAATTGCAGGCGATGGGTTCATTCAACGGCCATGCGCCCCTACGCCGAATATTTGACACGTGGTGAGGAAAAAAATCAATCGAGGAAAGAGATCGAGCACAGACCAGTAGTATATTTGGCCATCTGGCACCATGGTGCCTCCTCGGCCCCCCGCATGAGTTCGGCCTATAGTGCCGACATGGACACGGCACGGATTTTGGGTCGGCACGATGTGGCCTGATAGTTTGTAGCAATTGGATGATTTCAGAGATTTTCAGCCATTGGAGTGGAGTATATAATCACCTTCCCAAACCCTAACTCCAAATTTCCCTGTACTCCCAAGTCCCCACGGTCTCCTCCCCAATTTCCTCTCGTCCTCCTCCTCGCAGCCTCCTCCCATGTCCGATTCCGCTGTCATGTGCCCAGACTCTACACCACTGTTGCCCATGGTGCCTCCCCACGGCGTCACGATAACCTCAGCGCGAGGGAGCTTGAAAGCGGCGCGGCGACCATGGCGATATAACGCGATCGGCGGCGGCCGGCGCGATCTCCGTGGCGGGATGCTGGCCAGGCGCGCGGCGGATCTCGCGGATCTATGCGCATCTAGGCGCGCGAGCCTAAGCGCGCAGCACGGAGTCGACGCGGCGGGCGGCGGTTGGGCTGGCGTCGTCGAGCAGGGCGCAGACGGCACTATGGGCCGTCGTGCCCCGCGGCATGGCACAGCACGACTCGGAGACCATAGTGCCGTGCCTGGCCCAAGACAGCGGCACTAACAGACACGACACGGCTAGCTTGCGTGCCGCATAGTGCCGTGCTTGGCCGTGCCCGTGCCCGT